ACACAAGCAGGGGTGTGCATTTGCAGCAGCACAAACAATAGCGGCACAAATTGTGCCACTACTTTGTGCTGCGGTGCCCACCCCAGCTAACGAAGTTTGCAGTGGGACACATCGCCCTGCTACTCTATGTGCTGCAGAAAGGGCTGGCTGGGGCATGGTGTAGAGCTAGCTGACAGGGAGCCCCCACACAGGCACCTTGTGCTCCAAGCAGCTGGGGAGTGACACGAGACAAGAGCAGGTAGACCAGGGCTGCCTGCTCCCCCATCTCCATGCACTACAGAGCCCCTGCACTGAAGCACCCTGCGCCCCAGCCGGTCACTCCCCTGGGTGCAGGGTGCCTTGAGACAGGGGAGCAGGAAGTTCCCTTGGCTGTCTGCTCCCCTGTCTCTGTGTGTTGCTCCTCCAGCACACAGGCTTAGGCACAGGTTACCTCAGCGTGGGGGCTCCGCAGCATGCAATGATGGGGGAGCAGGCAACTCCGGGCTGCTTGCTTCCCCATCTCTGCATTTGTCCTGGCATACAGCCCTTTGGCGTGCTTTGCTCTGCTTTTTTCTCAGGAGGTTTTTGTGGTGGGGGGTTTGCTACCAAGAAATCCTGGTATCAAATTTTGCCCCAGTGCCGCAAATTAGCAGCATGGGCCATGGTTTAATGTGCAATGTGCCGTTTGTGGTGCCACAAACGGCACATGCCCTCGCATCTGGATCTGGCCACTGGTTGCATACACCAGCATACATCTTTTGAAAATACAGATGATGATGGCCAGATCTGACTCTGAAAGAAAAGGGCTCAGCTTTCTCACTAGATGGAGTTGTTGAAAAAGCACTCCGAGTCACTGCCACCACCTGGGGATCCAGGTGCAGGAGAGGTTCCAGGAGACCCCCAGGGCTGTGAACCTAAGAGAGAATGAAAGGCTGAAGCCCCCATCAATGATAGGTATTTGATTCTCCCCTCCACCCAGCTATGTCTTGTCTAGATTCAGCTTCAGTTGGTTCATCCACATTTGAGCTCCCAACTGCAGCCAGACACTAGGAAAGGACAGAGACTGGGGGCCTGGGTCAGTTGAGAGAGCATAATGGGGCTGGGTGTCATTAGCATACTGATGGCACCTCCCTCCAGATCTTAGTGTCATCCAGCAGCCCAAATATACATTTAACAGGAGATGCAACAGGATGGAGCCCTAGGGGGACCTCCACAAGGAAGGTCTTGAAGGAATGACAATGGCTGTCACCCATCACCATCCTCTGGAACCTCCCTGCAAGAAAAAAGTACAAACAATTAAAAGCAGTCCCATGAATATCCAGCAAGTCATGGAAACACTTTATCATCACCTTATGGACAACTGTTTGAAAGGCTACTGAAAGATCTAGCAAGATTAGCTGGACATAATTTCCCCCACTGATCTCCAATCAAAGGCTATTGAGCAAAGCCACAAGGATTGTCTGCATGTTATGCCCAGGGCAAAAGCCAAACTGACACCTGGCCAGGAATCTGATCACAGCCAGATGCCCATGGAGCTGTCAGGCAATCGCCTATTCAGTGACTTTTCCCAAAAAGGAGAGGTTGGAGAAAGGGCAGTAACTGGTCGGGGAGTTAACATCAAGCACCATTTCTTGAGTAGGGGCCAGACAAGACAGGGTGGGTAAGGAAGACAGGACAGGGTGGGGAAGAAAGAGGGAGGGGTTGTGTTCTATGTCAATGAGCAATATACTTTGACCCTCATCAAGATGGAATCGAAGGAGGAGAAAGTAGAAGGATTGTGGGTTAAGTTACATGGGGGACAAGGAGAAAGGGATTTGGTGGTAGGGGTCTGCTACAGACCCCCACACCAAGGGGAAGAACTAGATTCGGGGCTCCTGAGGCAGCTCTCGGAGACCATAAAAACTAAGGAGGCGGTAGTCATGGGGGACCTAAACTACCCAGACATCTGCTGGGAGACACAGACAGCAAAGTCCCACCGTTCACGCACGTTCCTATCCTGCGTACAGGACCTCCACCTGATGCAGGAGGTACACGGTCCCACTAGGGGGAATGCCTTACTGGACCTGGTATTGGCAATGGGGGATGATATGGTAGGGGACCTACAGATTGGTAGTCACCTTGGGGACAGTGATCACCAAATAATAGAATTCATCATAAGACATCGAGTGGGTAAGGTAACTAGTAGGGTGAAAGTGCTAGACTTTAGGAAAGCTGATTTCAATGAACTCAGGCGATTAGTCAAGGACGCACTGCAGAGTAGGAGTTCTGAAGAGAAGGGAGCCCAGGAAGGGTGGCTGTACCTTAAGGAAATGATCCTTTGGGCACAGAGGGAGACGATCCCGATG